GCAAATGGCTACTGGGGATGGGGAAGAAGCTGACATCAATATTTTCTGCTGCATTTTACACATTCACGCACATTAAGTACAAATCTCAGGCATATTAAGCACAATACTCACGCACATTGAGTACAAATCTCACGCACATCCGCACGGGAACCTTTCAAAATATATATATATATATATATATATATATATATATATATATATATATATATATATATAACCTTTTATTACCTTGCATAAAAATGAAAAGTTAAGGTGTTTACTTGAAGGTTTTTTTAGTTGAAGGGTTGAATTACATTTTGACCTATAGTTGAAGAGTCTATTTGACCCTTATTTTTTATTTTTTTCGTGTTTTTTTTTCTCTTTTTCCATACCCTCTCTCCAACACGCATTTCAAAATTTGAAGAAAAAAAAACAATCGATTAAAAATGCTTTAAGTGTGTATTTAGAATTACCATTTAATTATTATTTTTAAAATCGTAAAATATTAAATATATTCTTATTTCTATATTATCATATGAGTTTCGGTTCGAATTACCATTTTGCCTGGCAAATTATATCGTGCATCGCAGTGCATAATCGATTATGCACCGCGCATCAAAACGACGTCGTTTAGTTTAATGAAAAAAAGGGGCATCCATTTTTCTTCGTTCCTCACCCTTCCGCAAAAAGTAATTCTGTTATTCAGTTTCATTTTGTATACACTGCAGTTTCAGTTCAATACAACTAAACTTTCATTTCGATATAACTACAGTTTCATTCGATATTTATAGACTCAAGTATGTGAAAATGTTATTTAATTTTATTTTATATACACTATAGTTTTATTAAAACACAACTACATGATCATTTTGATATAATTACAGCTTCATTGTACAATATATACACCCAAAGATGTGAAATGTTATTCAGTTTCATTTTATATACACTGCAGTTTCATTTCACCACAACTACAATATCATTTTGATATAGCTGCAGTTTCATTTGATAATATAAAAATAATACGTGAGGCAATGTCGATTTAGATATACTATAGTGTCAGTTAGTAATTAACATACAAAAAAATCGAGCTCCGTTAACATTAACGCGGAGCATTTTATACCGCAATGCATGTGCATCGCGGTCCACGATATAACGACTGATTTTGCCTCTACCCAAAACTTTAGTGGATTGAAATTACTATTTTCCCTATTTAACATTTTGGTCAATAACATTTTGCCCTAAAAAATCACTACTACTATGGAATATATGGATGTTCTAAGGAGCAAACTTTAATTTAATTATTTAAAGTGGTCAAGTGTTACTTTTCCTTAATTAGCAGGGGTAAAATGAAATTAACAGAAAAAAAAGAGCTTATGAGTCATACACTCATACCCGGACACAAGAAGAGAGAAAGGTAACTGAACTCCTGAGAGTGACGACTAAACAATGGCGAAGAAGAAATCGGAGTCTCGGGAGCGGCCACCGGAATCTTCAGCTCTCACTGAGAAAAACTCTTCAAAATCAAACCAAGGGTATACGAAAGCCTGCTCCTTTTTTGCTTTTAGTCTTTCTATAATCTCTCTTGCATATATATTTTTTGTTTTCGAGTTCCGAAGTTAAGTATTTCTTGAAGAATTTTCAGGAAAATGGTGCTGAGAGTAAGACGGGCGCGTCAATTGAAGGACACCGGGGAAGAACAGGGCAGAGCCGCATCAGGAACGAAGCGCAAAACGACGTCGAAGAAAGTCTCCAAAGTAGACTCCAAGATGCCTAAGAAACCCCCTACTGCTTTCTTCTTCTTCTTGTGCGTATAAGCTATTTGTTTGTTTCAATATTTCATAGTATTTTGTGATCCTTCAATCCTTTTTGCTTTTAGTATTTGCTCCAGGTCTAAATGTGCTTCAAATCTCAATAATTTATGCGTTAATTTTTAGTATAGTTAAAATTTCTCTGCACTAGTTTAAGCAAGGGTTTTCAATTTTTTGTTTTCATTTTTGTTTTTGTTTTTTTCCCTTATTGTAATTGTAAGCAGTGTTGCAAAAATCCCGCCTAGCGTATCACCATAATTGGGGTCGACTAGGCCGTCTAAGTGCCGCTTAGGCGCTGATCGCCTAGGCCTTCTAGGCACCGATTAGACCGCCTAGTCGGCCAATTAGCTATTATTCGTTTTTTATTAAATGAGTTATTTTGCTCAAAACTATATTGTTTTTAGCGAAATAACCCTAAATTATTCAAAATCTAGATGTATAAGATTTAGTTTTTCTGGGCAACCATAAGATAGTGTTTGTGTCTTGGATTTGAAGCACATAGGAAATTTAAGGTCTTTATGATGGCTGCTGACTGAAAGTAATATCCTTTTTCTCAAGGGAGGACTTCCGGAAGGAATTCCAGGAGAAGAATCCAGATGTCAAGTCTATGCGTGATGTATGTATTCAATAAGTTCGTTTAATATTTGATTCTATATCTTTGTCTGTACTTGCTTGGCTTGAGAATAAAATTTCTTCTCTCGGATTTCTTGATGTTTAATGCTCTGCTTATGCTTCAGATTGGGAAGGCTTGCGGAGAGAAGTGGAAAATAATGACTTATGAGGTTAGATGATCCAAGCTTGATAACGATATACTGTTTGTATATACTCTCTGTAGTTATTATTTATGCACATAAGTATATACCTGTATGGTCTCCCTCCATTTGTATGACTTCAAGGGCATGTTTTTCCCACTTTGACGCACTATGTTAGAAATTTCTCAGCTATGCTATAATGGATCCTCAAATTATTATTTTTTTTTATTTTTTTATTTATGTAAATTTGTTCCTATTTCTTAAAACAATTGTATCTACATATGTGGTCAGGGGAGAATTGGTTTTTATATGAGATTCTTCTAAAGATTGAAGTGCAATTAGTTCTCATTAGTTTAGAACCTTCTGGTTGATCATTAGGGGCATTGAGAGCATGCTCCCATGTAAAAACTGAGGACTGATCTAATCCATCTATCTGAATAGATTAGCGGTTGAAGGTTGCTGAGAACTAATGGGGAAAAGGTGGGGTTTTTTTTTTTTTTTTTTTTTTTTTAATTATATAAATATTGAAAACTTAAATGTTTGCAATAGTTATAAAATTGACCCAGTGGTTTTTTTACTAAAACTCACAACTATTGATGAACCTGGATAGACGGCTGAGATCAATTTTCACTTTTTATAGGGATCATGTTCTAATTTGATCCTCCCCATATGTGTGTGTGTGTATGCCCGTGGAGCGAAGATCATTCGCTTGGCGAATAAAGTGGCTTCGGTCAAACACTTTTTCTCGCTGGTCAAGCATATATATTCGCATTAGCGCATAGATGACAAAGTTTCACCTACCTTTGAGAAATTCAACATTCTACATCTAATGTTTGTGAATCAGCGAAGGATCAACATGTCAGCACTGGTTTCAGATAGTTTTCTCAAATTATATAAGTAGAGAAAGTTTTTTAGGCCTTTCATTTGATGCTCTGTGAACAGCTTCGTTTTATCTTTGTAATCTCTATGTGAGAATAGCCCCTTCTGGGCTATGCTTTCTCTGGAAAAAATTAAGTTGGCACTTGGCAGGTTAGGCTATGAATTGTAGGCGCTCTAACTTTCTGATATACTTGTAACAGGAAAAAGTTCAGTATTATGATATTGCTACAGAGAAACGAAGAGAATTTGATAGAGCTATGGCGGACTATAACAAAAGAAAGGTAAGCTTGTTCCATGCACCGCTTTAAGTTTGATTTGTGACATTTGGGACACCTGAAACACTAACTATAGACATCGTTCTTGTTATACAATTTAAAACTATTGCAGGAAAACGGGGAGTTCAAAGAGTACGAAGATGACTCTGATTTTGATGATTAGAAGAAAGTATTCACTCCAGAATAGTATTATTTTTTGGTCCTTCGTCCTCTACGAGTATATCCAATCCATGTATCTGAATGACTGACACCACCGCCTTCTTTCTCTTTGTAGTGAAATCAAGAACACCTTTAGAGAGGAGGGTCTCACTTTGGAGTTGTGTGTACAAATTTCTGTATATTAGTCATAAGAGATATTTATGTAATGACAACATTGCTAGTTTGGTGATAAATAGGATTGATTTGTAGTAGCTGTCCTTTTGGTTAACTATTGTTTTCAGTTGCAAAACATTCTTGCAAAGATCCAAAATGATGTTAACTAGCAAGCACTATAAACTGCATTTGGTTTGCTCTTTCTATTCCTTTTAGATTACTTGCTGCCACTGACCGCCTAGGCGATGGGTATATATATATATATCTAATCAGGTGAGAATCAACCTTAATCTGCAAACTTGTGAATGATTGCACTGCAACTACTATATAGTTGCACTGTTACGGTTCCCAAACATTGCAATCGTATTTGGATGCGGTGCAATCCTTCACAAGTTCACAGTTCGCAGGTTAAGATTGATTCTCACCTGATGAACACACAACATATATATATATATATATATATATATATATATATATATATATGCTCAAATCTCAACAATAAGTACTAAATTATGCGATAATTTAACATTTTCAGCATGGGTCTTTAGATTTAGCCTTTTAGGATCTGTTGATGGATCATAATTGGGGTTAACAAAATAAACCACCACTAAGACGATGCCAGGAAAAGAAGGGGGGGACTTTGTATTAGTAGGGTTTTTTTTTTTTTTTTTGTAAGGCGAGGCGAGCTCGTTAGGCGTCTGGTCTCCACTGACCCGACAGGTGTTGCCTAGGTGACGCCTTAACAACAATGACAATTTCACTACTATCCCCAGTAGCCAAAACATCATACTCATAATCTAAATCTGCTCTCTTCCAAAACATCCTGCTTCTTGTTGGACAGCCCAATTGAATCAGCTATGGATTTTACTTGAGCAATCATCGCGATCGTATCATTGAGTTTGTTAATGGCTGAGCCGACGCCCTGGGGTCACAAAGTTTCATCAATCTTTGAACATCTCATAAAGGAATACACATAACAGCATTGGTAATTGGTTGGGAACTTACCACGCCAGCAGCTCCGGCTGTGATTGCCATTGGCGCTGTGACTGCACTTAGTCCAGATGAACACATGACGGGAATCTTCACTGCCCGTGAAATTGCATATGCTGCTGCTAGCGTTGGGGTCGCCTATTTAAATAAAAAAAGTTATAGATCTACACAGCTGAATGCATTATGGATATCATTGTTAACCACAAGGCAGTGAAACATTGTCAAAAAAACAGAATAAAGATAAAGAAAAGAACCTAAGCTATAAATGCAGGGTAGTTAACTTTTCTAGAAACGGGAAAATGTGCCTACTAACTCGGTGAATAAACAGAGAGTACGCTGTACTTTTTCTATTAAGCCCAAGATGCCAGGTTTCAAAGGATTAGAGCACTTTCCTCCTTCTGTTTGGATGATATCAGCCCCTTCTTGTTCCAGCATCTCGGCTAGTTTAATCTGGTAGTCATAGAGCAAAGATTGGTTGTCAAAAGATTATAGGTTTAATTATGCACTGTAATTATAAAACATGCTTTCGTAAGACCTGATCGGGAAGGCTCAACGTGTGAGGCACAGTGACTGACAATGTGATGGATGGAAGAATTCTCTTAGTCTCCTTTGTCAGATTCAGAATCTGCATATCATTGTCAGAAAGTGTAAGAACCGAGCTGCAAAAAATTACCCGGAATTTGTTGACACGTTTAAGAAAGACACAGGATTTCTTGCAATTTTGTTTCTTGTTCGCTCTAAATTTCTTAGGAGATTGCAACGACCACCTAGTACTTAAACTCTCACTACCTGCTCCGGGGAGAATATCAGTCCCATCTCATAGAATGAGTCATAGTTTCCAATCTCCACCTGAAAGACAAAAACTGGTCTATTTAGCGACGAAAGTTGTTAAATAAACAAAAAAGTTTTGGTCATCTCTTGGATATACTGGGAATTCTTTGGGAATGAAACATAAAAATAAATATTCAAGAATTGGTGGTCTAACTAACCATCAAGGCTCCTGCTTCTACTGCAGCCGGGAATGCTGCCGGATCCACAGATGAGACACAAACCTGCAATAAGAGATCCAGGAATAAGTATTCCAGTCCTTATAAACTATGTGGAATTAAGATTCTCACCGCATTAACCGAGCCAATAAGAGAATAAGTTCTTAAAACATTATAGGCAATGAATGTTTTTGACTTTTTTCCCCTTCTATATCATTTCAACATTAGCTCATTACTTGTGCCTCATATCCAAAAGAATAACAAACACCTTGTAGTTCTAGCAAGTAAAACGAAAACCACAAAGCTTCACAAACGACAAGAATTACGTTTGACGGTTAAGAATTTACCGGAAGAGAAGTCAGGGCAGTAGCAAGTTTCACCAGTTCTGGGTCACAAGCTATGTCCACATGAGTTGCTCCTCCCTGTACACATTAGGACTGTAAAATCTTAACTGGGAATATGGTAAACCAAATAACATAGTTAGCTTATCAGCCAATTTTGACTTATTTGATCACTATTAGAGTGTTTGATTAATTAGCTTTTTGTAACAACTTATTGCTCCAAAACACTAAAATTCAAAAAGCTGCTCAAAGTAGCTTTTCCGATAAGTTTTTGGAGAAAGTCATTTTGTATGTAATCAACTATCAGCTAACATCTACTTTACAAAACACTTTTCTACAATCAGCTAACATCTATCCGCTAACAACTATTTACCAAACACCCCTCATCTCTAATTAGGCCAATTTTTGAAAAGTATAAGTAAAACATAGTTTACAGTGTTTGTTAAGTCTTATCCAAATAAGGGTCCTAAATAGACCAATGAAGAAAAGAAGCATGAGAATATTATCAACCTTATCTGCAGCAGTAACAACAGCAGCAACATTTTCTTTGTTAAGATTTTGCAACCCTGAAATAATCTGAAACAAAGAAATGTCACATAAATCCATTCTAGGATTCAGTAAGCCATATAATAGTATTCAAAGTCCACCCCAAGAATAAAGCACTTAAAACAGCTAACAAAGTTACACTTTCAGACTATACAGTAAACATAGAAGAAAGCTAATTTCATAAGCACAGTGAGCTGTGTTTCTTGAAATTCTGTGAATTTTAACTGTTCATAGAAGGAAATGTAAAGAAAAATAATCAAATAAATGAAAATGGGAAAGAGAAATGATCAACCTTTAGGGCTCTTTTCTGATGAAACTCTTTCAAGACTGCTTCTTTGGTGGATGAGAGCAAAGCCCTTGGTGGGGTTAAGGGCTTTCTCCTCCTACCAAATGAAAGGTGCTTTGGAAGAGGAACAGAGTCTCCCTTTAGAAGTGGGTTTGTGCTTGGTTTCAAGATTACAGTATGATTTTTTGAGGAAATTAAGGTGCAAAATGAAGAACTCATTATTCCTCTCTCTGCAGCTTTGGATTATGAACTTGTTTTGAGTCTATCGAGTTGGGAGGTAGGAAAAAGATAACTAGATAAGAGAGCCTGCAGCTTTGATTACCCTCTCAGTCACTCAAGATATTTTCCTATTAACTATTGCACGCACGGAATTAGCTTAATCGTTCAGTATACAATATTTAAAAAAAAAGATCAAAATTCAAATTTTAATTATAGATTACGCCTAAAGTGAGTACATTCTTTGTGTGCACCGACATTTAGCTCTTTCTGCTGAATTATTGAGTTATTGTGATTTTGTATCTTTCAAATACTCTGTTGATTTGGAATGTAGGGATCCTAAAAGTCAGGAATTCAACTTTTTGAGAGAAGAATATTTTCCTATCAACCTTTTATCTCTTTAATTTTAAAATGTTAGTGTAATTTGACCGTATTTTAGAGGTAAATATAAACTAATAGGTAATGTTAAGCACAATAGAATGAATGAAGTTGTTGGTAGCTTACGTGTATATGAATAATTTTGTATTAATGTTAGTAAAGTTTGGACTCCCTTTACAATGGTCGACTTTTATAGCTTATTGTAGTTACAATGCACTAAAGAAAATTTGAATAAGGGTCTTTAACAAGTTGCCTCGCGAACATGATTTTAGAGATGTTCTCTATCGGATTGTGTAAACTTCGGTAAATTTTTTATTAACCGATCGAATCGATAAAGTTCGGTTAATCGTTTTTTAATCAATTTTTTTTATTCAGTTAATGGTTAAATTTTTTTTAAAATTTTAGTTAACGATTAATTCAGTTCGAAACTATCGATTAACTGAACGGATAACTGAAATTTTAAATATATATATATATATATATATATATATATATATATATATATATATATATATATATATATATATATATATATATATATATATATATATATCCCCTATACTAATACTCGGGAATTGTCTATTGCCCCTAAAAAATGACATCCCTTATTAATCATTGATCTCAAATCATGTGATTGAAATTTTTTGATATAACATTTGGATTTATTTTTTGTTACCATTCTATAGCTCACTTTTCTTTTCTTTCTTCTTTTTTTATTATTTATTTTCTCTCTCCAAAATTGAACCCAAACCTATACATTTATTCTTCCTTTTTTTTTGAATGCATACATTTATTCTTCCTATTTTCTCTTTGTTTCCTTTTTTTTTTTTCCAAGTCTAAGTAAAAAAAATTGTCTTTTAAGTTTTAACTCATGAGGGAGTCACTTTGTGTATATTTTTAATTGCAAAAAAACTTTAATACAGAATTCCAGAACTGGGTTACGAACCTGCAATAACATATTGGCTATGACATTGAAAGGCATTATTATTAATATTATTTCTAAATATTATGATCAATCAGAAATTAGTTGTATGTATTTCTAACAGACTTGCAACTCAGCCTTTACATTCAAAACCACCTACATTTATTCAAAGAAGTTTATTCAACTTCTTGTGTCTATTCTCATAGTTGAATCATTTCTCCTAGCACTACTACACAGCAGGCTTTTAACGTCGGCTAAATAGAGCTTTTAACGTCGGCTATAGAAAGTACCATATTTTTTATGTCATGGGTTCTGGGATCAGACAAGTGGAAGGTGCATTAAGTTTAATATATTTCTATATGAACATAATTAGATATTCAAATGCCACCACAATCAATAATAAAAGATTCTAATAATGTTAACAAATTATTAGGTAGGAATTGGTGAGCATCAAAGGAGAAGCTGATGTAGGAAATTTTGTAAAGGAGTTGGAAAATAAGAGAGAAATATTCATTGCTAAAAGATCCAAATTTAGAGTTGGATGATGCAACATTAAGACTAAGGAAAGTGTGATCCCGCTATTTGAAGAGAATTGAAGGTTTGGGGAAATGATGAGTTCTTCTTCTTCCATTTCCCCTGCAAGCTTTAGACGAAATTGATTGTTCTCTTTTAGACCTAAATAATTGATCGTTGTCTAATGCAATGTATACGATATTTTGTTATTAACAATATAATAATGTATTATTAATATTTAATTTGTTATTATCTTGTTCAGAATTATAATTATATCACGTTGATTATTAAAAAATTTATATATTATACCATTTAAAAATTAGAAAATATTAATTTATCGTTGGGCATGACATTTCGCGCAAAGCGCGTGCCTGCGACTAGTATATATATATAGGGAAGGGATCAGGTGCGGGAGGGGCTTCCCGTACAGTTGGACGCACTCTAAGTACACAACACACGCACATTAAGCACACAACAAAAACACATTCAGCACACAAATCCACGCACGTTAAGCACAAAACTCACGCATGTTAAGCACAAGCCGCACGCATGTTAAGCACAAGCCGCGCGTACCTTAAGCACAGAACTCAGTCACCTTTTAAGTTTCAACAACTACTCACATTAAGCACAAACTGACGCACGTTAAGCACAAAACCCACGCTCGTTAAGCACAAAACTCACGCATGTTAAGCACAAAACTCACGCACTTAAACACAAAACTCACTCACTTAAGTTTTCAACAAGAACTCACATTAAACACAAACACACACACATTAAGCACAACCCTCATGCACATTAAGCCCAAGACTCACACACTTGAAGTACAAAACTGACGCACGTTCAAACTGCACGAGAAACACTTAAATGCACTGGAACTTAATATTTTATATATATATATATATATATATATATATATATATATATATATATATATATATATATATATATATATATATATATATATATATATATAAAATTTAATCTAATATGTAAAATTCCTATAAATTTGTAATGTTGTTATGATATTATTTTTGTATATTTTATTATGGATTTGTTATTATATGTATTATTTTAATTTGATTTATTATTATACGTATTATTTTTAGGATTTAAAACTTTAGCTTTAAAAAGTTCGATTAATCGGTTAATCGAAAAAAAATTTCAATTCGATTAATTTGGTAATACATAGTTCGGTTCAGTTAACGTTAAAATTTTTAAAACTTTGGTTAACCGATTGAACTCCTCTAGTCCTCTAAGGCATTTGGTATGTCAGTTATTCCTCTTGAGTGAGTAGGTCGATTGGCTTTGACACTTATACTGAAAATGACTTAAAGTCTTACATGAGTTATTGTTTATTTGTGCTCGGGTTCTGAAGCTTGCCTTTGTCCACAATTTGTTATCTAGGTACTAAAAGCAATCTCAATAGTATGAAATTTTATAAGGTTTTTGCAATGACAAGTAAAAAAGAGAGGGAAGCGGAAAGACAGATTAGTAAAAATGTGGGAAAAAGGAAAAAATAACAATGATCAATTTAGCGAATATAATATGAATTTGAATATAAAAAAATTTTACATTAGAGAAAAATAAAGACATATAATTAATAAAATTATTTCTCTTATTTTTTTGAATGCTACTAGCTCTATTACATTGTAGTATGTGTTCATATACTTTCTCAACCTACTGAAACACAAAGAGCTAATAACGCCTCCATTGAGGCTCGAACTCACAACCTTCCACCAAATGGAAGTCCAACCCGGATACCATTGGACCACATAGTCCTGGTTATTTCTCTTATTTAATTGATTGATAATGAATAATTTTTTGTTGACTAATGTTAGTAATGTTATATTATATGGTTTATTTGTTTATGGTTATTATTGTTGTTGACTAGTCTTAGCTATTAGATAGGAGCTATCAGTGGTAGCTTTCCTATAGGATTCTATCGTGTAATCTGTTTTCCAGTCTAATGTGATTTGCGTTGTTTCACTTGGTATCAGTTAGCGTCAGGCTAGGAATCCTACCCTGTTTTTTTCTCCACCACCTAAACATGTCGACAAACTCCTCTGAACGAACCGTAACCACCACCCCTCCACCACACACAACCGGGAATTCCCTTACCGCAGCGCATCACTTTGTCTCAATTAAATTAAACAACCAAAATTTCTTGTTCTGGCGCACTCAGATTATCCCCTTTCTACGTGGCCAAGGCCTTTTAGGCTATATTGACGGCAGCCATATCTGTCCACCGGAGTTCCTCCCGGCGACGACACAGGCAGTCGGCTCCAGCACCACCGCGGTCGCATCTTCCGAAATCAACCCGGAGCATGCGGCGTGGGTTCAACAGGACCAGCTGATTATGTCTCTTCTGATCTCGTCGTTATCCGACGAGGTCATGCCATTGGCGGTTGGCCGGGAAACGTCACGCGAGGTCTGGCTCTCCATCAATGACTCGCTGGCGTCCTCCACACGAGCTAGGTGTCTTAATCTGCTCGGCCAATTTCAGACACTCCGGCAAGGCAGCATGACGGCCTCGGAGTATCTCGGGAAGGCAAAGATGCTCGTTGAAGCCTTGTCCCTCGCTGGCCATCGACTCACGCTAGACGAACAGGTGCTCTACGTATTGAGGGGTCTTCGCCCGGAATTCCGGGCCATGGCGAGTGCACTCACCGTGACCGGCACACCGGTAACGCTATCTCAGCTCGGCGACCATCTGCAAGCCCAGGATTTCATCCAGGGAGATGAGTTCTCGATGGAGTCCGGGAATGGCGCTCCAGTCGCCATGTACGCTGGCCGTGGTGGCCAGTCGAGTGGGGGCGCTGGACGAGGTGGCCGGCACAGCAGCAACAATCGCGGCCGTGGGCGAGGAGGCCGGAACTCCGGCGGTCGTGGCCGTGGCAGCCCTCACTACATAAAGGAATGCATGTGTATTATTTTTTGTTGGCTACTAAATTGTATAATTTATTTTATAATTTAATAAGAGTAAAATAGAGTACTAATTATGCCAACTTTTATTGGAATGAGGTTCGAACCTAAGACCTTTTTTTATTGAAATCCATGAGTAAATTAACGGAGAATATAATTTTTATTGTGATGGGGTTCAGACCTAAGACATTTCTTATGAATAAAATAGAGTACTAATTATGCCAACTTTTATTGAGATGATGTTCAAACCTAAGACCTTTCTTATTGAAATCAATGAGTAAATTAACGGAGAATATAATTTTAAGGGAATTTTGATGGAATTTTGATTGTGATAGGTGTTTGAACCTAAGATCTTTCTTATTGAAATCATATAATTAAGGATAAATTTGGAAATC